AGAGTGGTTATAATTTTATTGACTAAGGCAAGGTCTGAAGGTCTCATGATTTTAAAAGTTTGGCCCAACCAACATCTTCTCAGTGATAGGGAGCAGTGATTTTTATAATGTGGTATTGCCTGTACTTTTTTTCCTGGCACGAATTAATCATTTTACTTGAGAAGTCCATTTGTTTTAAGAATAGACATCATTTCGTTGGTATCTTTTCCAAAATAGGGCTTCTTTTTGCATCAATTGATTTTTTCTTTTTAAGAAATTTTCCATTTTCTAATTCTAAACTTAATAAACATTTAACAAGATAAGCAATTTCAAAAAGAGGGTTGTGTATGGAATTGCAAATCTCTACTATTCAAGACTTTTTCTTTTAAGTACATGACAAAGTCATGTATCTTTCAAAGTTATCTTGCTTATCAATGTTTTCCTTCTTGCCTTCCTTAGGTTCTCTTCTATGATTTAAGAAAAATGCTTCAATGATCTTGTCTTTTTCTTTCAACAACTCTGTTGCTACCTTGTCTTATTTCTGCCCCCTTGCCCCATTTAAAAAACAAAAACAAAACCCTTATAACAAATATACATAGTTAAGCAAAACAAGTTTGCACATTGGCCATCTCTGAAAATGTATGTCTCATTCTACACTTAAAGTCCATCATTTATTTCTCTCTTAGGAGATGAGTAGTTGGCATCATCATTTGTCCCCTTTAATTGTGGTTGATTTTTGCATTGCTTAGAGTTATTAAGTCTTTAAATGTTATCTTTACCATCTTTACCATGTTTTTGTATCAGTCGTTCTCTTTGTTCTGCTCACTTCATTCTTTAATTCATACAAGTCTCAGATTTCTCTGAAACTATCCCTTTCATAATTTCTCTTTTTCATTAATTTTTTTCAATTGTCAAGTATTTATTTTTTCTCTTTTACACCTCCCTCTCACTAAAAAAATCATTGTAAAAATTAGTATAGTCAAATATAACAAATTGCCATATTGACCGTTTCCAAAAATATGTGTCTCATTCTGCATCTTAGTCTATTATTACTTCTCATTCAGGAGATGGATAGCATTCTTTATCATTGGTCCTCTGGAATCATGCTTGATCTTTATGTTGATCAGAGTATTTAAATCTTTCAAATTGTCATTGCTCATTTGTACAATGTTAATGTTACTGTTGATGTAGTTTTCCTGGTTGTGCTCACTAATTCTGCATCAGTTCATAAAAGTCTTCTTAGGTTTGTGAAACCATCTCTTTCACCATTTCTTACAGCACAATAGTATTCCATTCCATTATTTTATCATAAGTTATTCAGTCATTCTCTGATTGCTGGACAACCCCTTAGTTTCTAATTCTTTGCTACAACAACAAAAAAGCTTCTATAAATACTTTTTTTGTGTGCATAGGGGCCCTTTTACTCTTTATTTGATACCTTTGTGAGTATAGACCTAGTAGTATTACTGAGTCAAAGGGTATGCACAGTCAGTATTTTGCAGGGGGCATAGTTCTAAATTGCTTTCCAAAATGTTGGACTAGTTCACAGCTTCACCAGTAGCACATTAGCGTGCCCTATTTTCCCACAGACCGCCCAACAATCATCAGTTTCCTTTTTTTGTAATCTTTGACAATCTGATGGGTATGAGATGGAGCCTTACAGTTTCTTTTAATTTTATTTCTTTGAATTATTCATGATTTTGAGTACTTTCTCAAATTGATTATTGATGGCTTGGAGTTTTTCCTCTGAAAACTGCTTGTTCACATCCCTTGACCTTAATCTATTGGAAATTGGTGTTTGTTCTTTTATATTGAATCAGTTTCTTATACATCTTGGATATGAGACTTTTATCAGAGAAACTTGCTGTGCATTGGCTTTCCTCAAAAACTTTAATTTTACGTAATCAAAATTGTTCATTTTATCTTCTGTGATCCTCTTTACCCTTTGTTTGGTAATGAACTTTCTCCCTCTTTATAGCTGCAAAAGATGTTTCCTTCTTTGCTCCTCTAATTTTTTGATGTCACTCTTTATATCTAAATCTTGTGTCCATTCGGGCTTGTGTGAGTTGTTGTTTTACATTAATTTCTGCCATATTGCTTTTTATTTTCCCAGCAGCTTTTGTCAAATAGTGAGTCTTTATGGCAGGAGATGGGGTCTTTGGATTTATTGAACACTATGCTATTATATTTGCTTTGTTTTGTAGGTTGTATTTTAGTAAATTGCACCAAATAGTTTTGATGATGTTGTATAGTTTGAGAACTGGTACTACTATGCCTCCTTCTTCCTCGTATTTTTTCGTTATATCCCTTCAGAGTCTTGATTTTTTTTTGTTGTTATCTTTTTTATCATTATCTTTTCTAGCTCTCTAAAGTAATTCGTTAGTGGTATAATTGACATGACACTGAATAAGTCAATTAAGTTAAGTAGTGTTGTTCTTTTTATTATATTAGCATAGCCTACCCATGAGCAATTAATATTTCTCTGGCTATTTAGTTTTATATTTATTAATTCTCCTTTCCATTCTTTTCTATCTTTCATTTAACATTGAATTTTATATCTCTTGATTAATTTTTTCCTGTCTTAGAGTCCTTTTTCTTTTGAGATTCTGTTTGGACTCATTATGGAGTTACTTCCTTTTTCTGCATTTATATCCTGGGCTACTTTCAGTCCATAGTATTTATCCTGTTGGATATTTTTTCCCCATTTACTTATAGCTCCAGCTTCATTTTCTGGGTTGGGATTGTAAGCTCAGGTCAAGATCTGCTTCTTTTTATAATCTTGGATGCTGTGAGTAGGCCATGCTTGGTCCTGGGTACTGTGGCTAAGACTAGGCTACATTCTCTGCAGGAATTCCTTGGTTTTGGTATGGGGTTCTGGTGGTTTGACTTAGGTTTTGACCTCAACCTCTTCTATGTCTCATTCTTGAAATCTGGATCTGGCTGTGTGACTGGCCCCAAAAAGACATTGATTGCTCTGGTAGGTGCTATAATAGCCCTGGCTCTTGTAATAACTCAGCAACAGTCTAGTTTTTGCTGTAGTTTAGGCATAGGCTTCCTGGGTACTGGTCTGGTTCTGTGTTAGCCTTTTATCCTGATGTCGCTCTGATGGGCTCTGGATGTCCTACACTGGTTACTGGTCATGCCCTATCAACTGCTATGTCTTGGTCATTAGATGCCTGGGTGCTACTGTAGCCCTGTCTCCTACTATGGCTAGGGCGTGGGCTGACTGGATCTGAACTTGATGCTGATTTGGCCCCATTTCCTGCTGCAGGTCTGGGTAGCTTGTGCACTGTGCTTTCCACTTACTGAGCCTTCACAGATTTCTGGAAATCTTGTGAAATCCTAGACTGGATAGAAGATCTTACAGTCATTTCTCTTTGGTTTTCTTTATAGTGTTTCCCTCACCCACCCTACCCCCCCAACTCCTACCTCTGATGGCCATTACTTTCAAGTTTCCTTTAAGCCCTCATTCTGTGATCTCTTCTCTTTGATTGGAGTGGGTCCCCCAGTGGAGGAATTTCAAGAACCACATCTTTTCCAGGCAGTCTGACATTTCAGTCATCCCAGGGGGGTAGTAGCAATTTCCTATCAACTTCCCCAAGGTGAAAAATATTAAAACTTTGTAACTGTAGGAGTACAATGACGTTTCTTAAGACCAGCATCACAGAAATACATTGAAAATCAGGAGTCAATAAGACTGGCTACCTACAAGCTTCTGGTAGCCCATATAGTGTCTCACCACAAATAAACAATTTATTGACTTTACACCTGACACGAAAATTCATATTTTGTTCAAGGGCAATGTGATATTAAAAAAAATCAGAACTCTTCCTTTCTTTCAGACAGTGTGGCATAGTTTGCTTTCTGCATGGGCTGGATGGTTTCTAAGGCCCCTTCCAACTCTTACAATGAGAATTTCCGTGAATAACTACACAACTCTTATTCCTACACCCCCCCCCCCATTTTGCCCCCTTAGTTGGCTGATCTACTAGGGAGGAATTTTGGAAAGAATTAGGCAAGAATCATACGGGATGAGACAAAGGGCTTAGAGGTTTTTGATCACAGTCAACAAACAGAGCTCTGTGTTTTTGTTGTTGTTGTTGTTTTTTTAACAAAGCACACTTACTACAAGTAGTTTGTTCATTGTTACAAGGATTATATGACAACAATTACTCTGAGTTTTAGTAATAATAATAACTGACATTTATATTGTACTTTAAAGTTTGTGAAGTATTTTATGTGTGCAAATCATTCATCTGTAACTTCCGTTTTTAAATATCCTTATTTAACCTTTGGATGGGAAAGCCCTTCATTGGAGGGTTCCCATTTGGTTTCACAGTCTCCCCTGCAGGACTGTTCCTGGCTTTTCGTTTTAGGTTTAAAAGTGTGGTGTATTTTTCACCTATTGGCCTAAAAAAAAACATCAGTTGGCCTTGGTAACATATTTAACCATCAAGAATATCACATGAAAGGAATGAACATCTGGGGCTAATGCAGCTGAGCATCTAATTTGTCCTTTTACATTGGTTTTCTTAGCATGTAGCACCCATGCCCTGGACATAGTAGTGTCTTAATAAATTTTTGTTGAATTATTGTTTTTGAATGATGTAGGGTTTTCTAGTAGACTGACTCACTGATAATCTTATCATGTATCTGATGTTTCATTGCTTCATTTGGACAGTATCTTAACCCTGAATTCTTATGTTCATTAGAGGCATTGTTTCTGTTCTCAGCTATACTTTTTTGTTTGTTTCATTAAGGGTGTTCAGTAGGAAAACCAGGTAATGACAGTCACTTTTTAGCTGTCATTCAGAAAGAAAAAAAGGTTGAAAAATTGCTGTGACAAGTATAGATCTTAGTCTGAGGGAAGAAGCAAGGGGAGATACATTATTTTCTTTCACATGGTTATTCCTTCTGGCTGCCATATGTACATGATTGGAAGATGTTGACAAGCCTGGAAGGGATGTAGAAAGAGCTATGTAGGCAGACAATAAATGAATCTTTATTTTGCTTTCTTATAGATGCAAGAAAAGGCAAAAGACATTTACATGACCTTCTTGTCCAGTAAAGCCTCATCACAAGTTAATGTGGAGGGACAGTCTCGCCTAAATGAGAAAATCCTAGAGGAACCTCATCCTTTGATGTTTCAGAAGCTGCAGGACCAGGTAATGGGGATCCTTTTTCAACTGACTCTTAAAAAATATTTTTTAAAGTGATGGCTTTGTATTGCACTTCAGAAAACAGTGTAATTATAGTAAGATCTGATTTGTGAAGGCCACTGCAGTGAAAGCTAATTGACATTTGGAACCTTCTGAAACAGTGGATTTAAAGTGCAATATTGTCCTGATCTTAATTCTTTACCTTGTGACTCAGACTCCCTTCCATCAGGTCCTATGTGCAATAGATATTTGACCCAGAAGGGATCTTAGATGTCAATTGAGCCTGTAGTCAAAACTATCTGGGTTCTAATCCTGCTGTGTGACGATGGGCAAGTCACTGTCATTTTGTTGAGGTTTAGGGGTATGGAGACCCCAAAATAATGAGAGCAAGAGACACAGATCCTGCCTGAACGAATTCGACCCAAGCCTTCTTTTAGCCAAAGGCAAGGTTTATTAAAAATCCGCAATATTGGCCAGACTCTTAAGGAATCTAAGCATTTGTATCACTAATGCAAGCAGGCCCAGTTGAAACTGAGCCATTGGCCAGATTTTAAGAATCTAAACCTTTGGCTAGACTCTTTTTTTTTTTTAAATGAATTTTATTTTAGATTCAAACACCAGAACACAAATACAGAATAGGGAAAAGAAGAAGAAAAAACATATCATAAACTTAAATGTTGGGACTTAATTACAAAGTAAGAAATAGAAGGCATGTCATTGTGCATAGCAGAACATAGGAGAGGATTCAAAATATGTAATGATAAATTTTCATTTCAAGAAAGCCTGTATGATAAATACTATATGTTGTATTGAAAGCTGTCCATCTTTGCTTCCTTGTAAATTTTCTTTTGTTCTCTGCTGTGCACTTTTTTATTTTGTTCTTTTTTTTTTCAATGACAAAGATCTACAATGCCATTCATGATTCCAGAGGACTGATGATGAAATATATTATCCATTACAGAAATGTGATAAATTTAGAATACAGAGTGGTGGTGTGTGTGTGTGTGTGTGTGTGTGTGTGTGTGTGTGTGTGTGTGTAAAACCATTGAGGGAATTTCCTTTCCTTGACTATGCATATTTGTTAGGAGGAATTTGTTTTTCTTTTCTTCTTTTCCTTAGTGGGTGGGGATGGGAGGGAGAGAAGAGATTTCTGTTAATTTTTTTAAATTAAGAAATTCACAAAGGACAGCTAGGTGGCACAGTGGATAGAGCACCGGCCTTGAAGTCAGGAGGACATGAGTTCGAATCTGGCCTCAGACACATAACACTCACTAGCTGTGTGACACTGGGCAAGTCACTTAACCCCAATTGCCTCACCCCCCCCCAAAAAGAAATTCATGGCGGGGGAGGGGGGGAGGCATTGCTAAGATATGAAAGGTTGCATACACTTTCAGATGAGGTCACTGTATTGTTAGTTAACTGTTTTGCTTTGTTATAAGAGACCTGTCAGAAAGTGAGACTAATCTATAAATGTTTGTAATGCAAAAACAAAACACATTAATAAAAGTTTAAAAAACCCCAAAGATCTATTTTCTCTCCCTTCTCCCCTGCCCCCTCCTCCCTGCTCCATGAAAGGGGAGAATAAACCCTTGTAACATATCATAGCCAAGCAAAGCAAATTCCTGCATTGGTCATCTCCAAAAAGCATAGGGCACATATTGCACCCCAAGTTGCAAGTTATCATTTTGCATCTATAGAGAATCATGAGAGTGGACCTGAGAGGCCATCTGTCTCATTTTACAGATGAGAAAACTGAAGCCCAGAGAAGTTAAATGTGACTCAAGGTCACACAGATAATAAGAGGCAGAGCTAGAATTTCAATCCAGATCCATTAAAGTATTCAAGTCATGTGTCTATAACACTCATACATGCATGCATGTATATATGTGTGTCTGGTGTCCCAAAAGTTTTATGGCAGTTTTACGCTTTTAAACTTAAAGCTGTAAGATGTAAATTGATATAAGATTTACTGAACCCTTTCCTTACCACAACTATATGTAGTGGGAAGTGCAAATATTTTTACATTCATCATTTACAAATGAGGAGACTGTGTTCACAAAACTAATGTGCCAAAATTCAAACCCAGGTCTCCTGATTCAGGGTCCATTGTTCTTTTCACTACTTTCAATACTTCCTATTTTCATTATCTGAGAAAAAAAATCAGTTATTTGCAATAAATCATTCCCTAGTTGATGCTTGATAAATGAGGTAATTATACTTTCAAGTTTTAGGCTAAATTTATAGGCTTGGTTTAACAGAATATTGTATTAGTTACACTTTATTCTATAGACTCAAAATATCATAAAGTAGATACAGTAGTGATGTCCTGTTTGAGGAGGCAGTTGATAACAGTATCATTGCATGTGTGAGTGTGAGAAGCATTCCTTCCTGGGCTATATTTATATGAAGACTGGCCTTTGGCTTAGTTACCAAGCATTCCGTTTTCAGTCTGGAATGAACTTCAAAACTCAATTTGTCCAACGCCCTTATTTTACAAGCTGCATCCCACTCTGATCACTATATTCCAGAGGTGGTCAGATCAAGGTAGAACGCAATGAGATGAGCACCTCTTTTTTCTGGACTCCATACTTGTCTTAATGTAACTTAAGACTGTATTGGCAACTGGGTTGATCTGGGTGATTCACATTTTGAGCTTATAAGTCCATGGGAATCTTCTTTACACATCCTATTGTGTAGTTACACCTCTCTGTACTTGTACAGTTCATTGTTTGTTTTTAACCTGAGGCCAGGACTTTGTATTCCTCACTATTATGTTTATTATTAAATTATAAGAGAGAATGCAACTATTTTATGTCATTCTAAAGAAAAATGAGAGCGGCATAGCTTGTGAAAATCTGATCTCATATTGTTAAACAGTAGACGGACTGGCAGACTTTGAAGGATGAGAATTTTTTCTAGATGCATATGCAAAAAGACATCAAAACTGAGACTGAAATATCAGAATGATATTGGCACAAGTGAAGAAACAGATGGTTCTGTTCAGTCCCACGCTGTGGGATTGAGCCACATGCAGCAGTGTGGAGTACAGTTGGCAAAGGAGGGAATTTTAAGTGACTAAAAGTAAGCAACTTCAGGTCCCTTTGTTAAAACCTTTTGTTTGAGGAGATGGAAAAGTTTAATGTCTCTGAAGGTATATATGAATGAAAATACCCTCTTTAAAATCAGGACTAATTCTAAGACAAATATTCCAAAGACACTTTGGGTTCCCATTTCACTTCTCTAAAATTCTGGCTCTGGAGAAGTTTTGTTGGCAACCACCAAAATACACTTTCAGAATGGTCTCTAGTTCTCTTTCTTTCCCAAAGGGCCTCCTACACAAGTCCTGTTTCCAGAAGTAAAAGAGGGAGAAACTAAGTAGGGGCATGTTTCGAACTGATGGGTTTCATGTAGTTTAAAATAAAAGCAAATCTCAGCAGATCTGGCTTTGCATGGGGCCTCTTGGCTTTGTGTTGGAGCCGCCAGAATAGATTGTTCTGCACTTTCAGTTCTCCCAAAACATACTCATGGGGGAAAATTTAGATTCCCTTTAGTTCTGCATCCAAGTACAGAAGCACTTCACTTATCTGACAGCCTCAACTATCCAGAACATAGCTAAGAACCTGGAAGAAAAAGAAAAGATCTCTGAGTGGCTAAAACAGATATCACAAAGTTCATAAACTGGTCATTTAAATGATCATTCAATGCCTATTTGCTCTTTTTAAAAAACCCAAAATTTTAACAAATGTAGTTACATAGTTTCTTAGCCCCTGTGTGATTAGAAACAGCAAAATATACTGCGTGTGGGACTTATTAAAGGGAAACATGAAGAGTCATCTAAAGTGATTGCTTCCACTTCTTCACCCTAACCTTATTTGAGACATATACATACATATTTGGGCAGCTAGGTGGCAAAGTGAATAGAGGGTTGGGCCTAGAGTCAGGAGGATTTATCTTCCTGAGTTCAAATCTATCCTCAGACACTTGGTAGTTGTGTGACCCTGGACAAGTCACTTAACCTTGTTGGCCTCAGTTACTCATCTGAAAAATGAGCTGGAGAAGGAGATGGCAAACCGCCCCAGGATCTTTGCCAAGAAAACCCCCAGGGGGGTCATGAAGACTCAGACACAACTGAAATGACACAACAACAAAACATACGTATTTAATACATATCCATTTCTCTAAATTATAGAAAGCAGACATAAGAATTTCAAACTCAAACTCAGCATAGGACGATCTCAGTTACAATATAACAAGCATTTATTACGTGCTTACTTTGTGCTAAGCACTGTGCTATATATAACAAAAGGCAAAAACAGGGCCTGAGCCCCCAAGGAACAGGGGAGACAGCGTGCAAATAACTATGTACATATAAGATATATACGATGTAGATGGAAAGTAATGCCAGAGGAAAGACACTAGCATTGGGCAGGGTTGAATTGGGGGGAGGGGTGGCTCTGTGTTTTGGAACTGGACAATTCCTCCTGCAGAAGGTGGGTTTTGAGTTGAGTCTTGAAGGATGCCAAGAGTCAGAGGTGAGGCGGGACGGCATTATGGACTTGGAAGACAGCCAATGAAAAAGCATGGAAGTGGGATATAGAGTGTTATGCTCCATGGACAGCAGAGCCAGTATAAGTGGATCACAGAGTGAAAGGGAATGAAGTGTAAGTAGATTGGAAAGGAAAGATGGAACCAGGTTGTGAAAGGCTATAACGCCAAGCATAGGAATTCCTATATGATCCAGTCCAGTTTATTGAGTGGGCAGCATGGGAAGATTGCTGGTGGTGGTGGTAACATAGTCAGACCTGAGCTTTAGGAAAAATTACTGTAGATGCTTGAGTGGAGGACTGACTGGAGTGGAAAGAATTTTGAAGCAGGGAAACCCATTACAAGGCTGTTGCAGTAGTCCAAGTGAGAGGTGCTGAAGCCTTGTACTTGGGTAGTGTGAGTGGAAATAAGGGGACATACACAAGGGATGTTATAAAGGTTGAAATGACAAAGTTGGAGAT